CAAAGGTATAACTCATTTAAGTACAGCTGATGCAGGTGTCTGGATTGAAAAAAATGTTTTTGTAGGATTATATGCAGTATGTTAAAAGATGACAAGCAGCAGTGATCAAATGTGAGGCTGAATGGAAAGAAATAATTACGGTGAAAAATACAAGGGAAGAATAAACAAAGATATTATCACATGCACAAAAATACTTTAAAAGATATGTAATAAATTGAAGATTAATTGTATGCTTATTTATTTGTTGAGCCTTTATTTATTTCTCTATTTTTCAATATGGCAGAGTTTGTCCTCCATAAGTCCATATTTGAGTTCTTATGAATTGAGAAACTGCCACTGACTTCAGACTTGACTTCTCTTATCTCGTCCTGTAGATTCGAGTAAAATGCTAACCAACCAATGGGGAGAAGTTGACCATCTAAGACACACACTTCCTCATTTGCATAATGAGGCAGAAATGGATAGAGAAATGTAAAAACGACAGGAAGAAATAAATAGCATAGAGGAAATAAATAGGGTGAAAAAAAACAAAGGAAGAATAATACAGGCAAAAATATCACATGCACATAAATAAATAATAATAAAATTAATAAATAAAGTTGAAGATTATAAGGGACAATAAATAAATAAGGTAATATTACAAAGGTAAATAAATAAAGAAGTTAATTAAAAGAAATTCCAACATTTATGTCTCATCATTAGCCACCCCTATCATTTTTTCCCTCTAATACAGACGGTGGCAGCAGTAATACTCTCAAGTGGAATATTCAAAACATTTAAAATTTTCATATATTAACAATTACTTGACAATAAAAACACTTTGGTTAATTATGCGCATTAAATTCTAACAATTAGAGATGATAACTACAGAAGTCATGCTCTTTCCATAGCTCGATTTTATGTTTCATGGGGTAAAGAGAACATTATGTTTCTCTGCAAGTCATCTAGTTGTCTTCAGTGAAATCATAAATAACTATTTTAATAAAAAACATTAAATAATCAATATGTGGCTATTATTAATTGTAAATATAAATTTTATCCAGAATGATTGTTGATGAAAGTAGGTAAGTAAAGACAATGGAAAAGATATTCGCCCCACAAGTCAAACCTGAAAGGATTTTATCCACTATACCTTTTATCTAGGAAGCACAGATGTTTAAATAAATGCATCTATTTGTTAGCAAAGGTTGTAGGAAAGTATATTTTTGTCTTTATTTAGAAAATATGGATCTTTTGCATGTTAATTTTCCTGTTGGAAGAGTGTAGATTGACCCTGAGGTTCTGGGGCCACCCCTCAGTGTACATTGGTTATTGCCTGGCCACCCTAATAAACATTTTCTGGCTACTCCTCTGGTCCCATATTTATTTTTAAATATGGCAGAGTTGGTCCTCCATAATTGGATCAAACTAGGAATAAAACATGCAGCACTTCCAACTGTGCAGAACAACCTTATTGTTGTAAAAACTGAGAGGATTTAATCAGAATCAGTCTGATTCTGATTAAATCCTCACAGTTTTCAAAACAGCCTTATGGGTTAATAATCCTTGTTGCCTCCCACTTTGACTACCAAACTTAGTGATGGGTGGAGACAGTGATGAAACCAGCTCAAACTAGTTTCTGTTGTAGGGGAGAGAAAGTCACACAGCTGTTTTCACAGAGTTCGAGCAAAGACAAACAGAATCAGACCAACGTTAGCTTTCCTGTTTGATCTGTTCGGATCTACTGAAGGATCTAGTGACTATTCCCTGTGGACACAGCTACTGTAGGACCTGCATTAAAGACCACTGGGACAAAGAAAGTCAGAGGAGGATCTTCAGCTGCCCTCTGTGCAGGAAAGAGTCCATCCTGAGGTCTGTGTTGGAGAAAAGCGTCATGTCAGCTGCTTTAGGGGGGGATCTGAAGGAAGCTGGACTCCAAGCTGCAGCAGCTGATCCTGAAGATGTGGCCTGTGATATCTGCTGCATTAGGAGAAAAATGAAAGCCATCAAGTCCTGTCTGGTCTGTTTACTCTCTTTCTGCGAGGATCACCTCCAACCTCATCATGACGTCCCTGGACTAAAGCAGCATAAGCTGGGGGACCCCTCCAAGAAGCTCCAGGAGATCATGTTCTCTCGTCATAACGAGGCGGGGAGGATTTTCTGTAGTGCTGATCAGCAGTGCATCTGTCATGTCTGCACTATCGATAAACATAAAGACCATGAAAAAATCTCACCAGCTGCAGCAGAAAGATTTAAGAAGCAGGAGGAAAGGTATGCTTCACTGTGGAGACCGGAATTCCAGACCAGAGAAGAATTCCTGGAATATTCACAAGAACTGACTCTGGATCCAAACACGGCACACAACAAGCTGGTGTTATCTGAGGGGAACAGAAAAGTCACAAGGATGAGACAGAAACAGTCTCATTCTTATCATCCTAACCGATTCAGCTTAAGGTTTATGACCCTGAGCAGAGAGAGTCTGACTGGACGCTGTTACTGGGAGGTGGAGTGCACAGGGGGGAGAGTTCATGTAGCAGTTTCGTACAAAAATATCAGCAGGGTTCAAAAGTTTGGATGGGATGAAAAATCTTGGTCTTTATATTGCCATAGAAGCGGTTACACATTTTATCACAAGAAAACTCCAATTCCACTGCCAGGTGCAGTTTGCTCCAGAATAGGAGTGTATCTGGATCACAGAGCAGGGATTCTGTCTTTCTACAGCGTCTCTGAAACCATGACTCTCCTCTATAGAGTCCAGACCACATTCACTCAGCCTCTATATGCTGGAGTTTGGCCTTTAGTTTACAGAGCTTCTGCTGAGTTAGTTAAACTGAAGTAGTCAGAGTTAATCCGAGGTCCAGTTGGTTCAAATGCATATTTTACCTCCAGTTTTCACAAGTGTTGGGTTTAGAACACTTTAAATAAAGATGAGACACAAGGAGGCACTGAGACACGGCTTCTGTTTTACGCTTCTACAGAACAGGAAGCTTCTCTCTACTACTCTTTCAGCAGCTCTTCCTCTGCATCCGCCTTTTATTAGAAAGAAAACATGGTGGTTACAAGGTCAGCCAATAATAAAGCAGTAAAACATCTTATGCCTTTAAGATAAGCATAAATGTTACACAGTATAGATAGAAGTGTTGTTCATCGTCCTCGTGACAGCAGTACCTCTCAGTACCGGTTTCTAGTAGCATAAGTCACGCCATAGGTTAGCTGGTCATGCAAGCATGTGATGTGTGCAGCTTTTATGTGCACGTTATGTTCCCTTTGACTTCATAGTGACCCTTTAAGGCTGTATAGAGACAAACAAACCTTACAATAAGTCTTCATCTTTGTTGCTTAGAGCTCATTTAGCTGTCATTTCTTCACTGACATCAGCTCACTTTATAAAGCTACTTTAATAAGGGAGTTATTTTGAGGTGCTGCCCCTTCCTATTAACCTGACTCCGCCAGATGGAAACCTTCCGTTTAAGTAATTTTGGGAAGGGG